GAAGTGTCTTCAGCTGGCCATCAACTCTCCCTTCTCCCGACCCGAATCTGATCTCAAAACCGTTCGATTCACTTTATTTCAAATATGCGACCGGAAAGAGACTAATAAATAATCCTTTAGAGGAAACCCAAGCCATCCTGATTGGCTGGAAAGAATTTAGAAGTTTGTTCCGTTTTGGGATCTTCCGAGGAAGACCAGATTCTGAACACCAAAAAGAAGCCTAAAAATATTCTTTAGAATCGTGAGGGAAGACACTCCGACTGCCAGACCAATTTGAGCCTGCTTTTAGTCCTAGTTTCCGGGTCCTAAGTTTAAGTTTCCGGGCCCAGACCGCACTCTAGCTACTAGCTACCTAAATCGCTCATTATAGCCCGTTTTTCACTTGTCCCGCTTCTCGCTACTTTGCCTAATTAGTACTCCAAGCTAATTGGCGATAAAATCCATTTTTTTCAGATTTAATAGCCAATTAACACGACCAAAACAACAACGCGCTTATCTTCTCTTCCTGCTACCATTCGGCGGGCTTCCGAAAAATTCCGGGATGGTGATGCATTGCGTTGGGGGCCGTAAAAGTTCCCGGGGTTGTATAATTTTGCGGTAACTTCGCAATCGGAGGTGGGAGTTGACTGTCCGGGTGGAGACCTGCCATGGTTAGATATTTTGATTCTGACAGCAGCAGCGGCAGTTAGGTGTTTTCGTTGTTGTTTAGAATCGCCTGTTTTGATCTGTTCAAAATAGCTACGTATCTCTCACTCTCTCGCTCGTTCTCTCTCTCCGCTCTCTCGCTATCTCTCGCTCGTTCTCTCTCCTTTGGCCCCTCTCTATCGCTGTCGCTTTGGCTTTTTATATTTGCCGTATTATCTGTTTTATCTATTACCCGCTCTATCTTTCTCTCTATCTCTCCTACCCCCCCTCCTCTCTCTCTCGCTCTCTCTCTCTCTCTCTCTATATATCTATCTTTCTCTCCCTCTCTCTCTCTCTCTCCCTCTATCAGTCTCACACGTTGACATATTTTCAGTGCAACCTCGGTACGATTGGCGCCCTTTCTATTCCTCACCCTCATTGTTAAAACCTGCACCTCGGCTACCGTAGCCCCTCCCCGATGCCCAATCTACGCGCATTCAAAGTTGGTGCTCGAGCGAGCCTTCGGGTCTCGTCCTTGTGTCTATGTTAGCGGGGTCGGTTTTAATTACCAGGACCTATGTTAATTCCGGGTACGTTTTTCGCCGCATCGCTACGTTTCAATGCGTAACGACGGAGCTCAAGCGCTGCGTCTGGCCAGCGCAAAAATTTATGAGGAATTTAAAACTTTGAAATTGAAACTGGGACACTTGAAAGCTTTTCAGGCACACGGCACGCCTTACCTCGTGCCGAGAACAAGTGTTACATGCTGATGGAGGGCAGATATACCGAGTTAAGGAAGACGAGGCTAGCGGCCCGTCGCTAATAACGCGCCAGCCCATAATATATCCCGGGCGTTTACCGGATGTGCTCGACAATCCGGAATGGACCTTTTTGACGTCGGGGGAGGATTGCGGGGGATCCAGGTCCGGTCACATTTCCTCTCACTCGCTCGCCTCTCTCTCTCGCTCTCTCTCTCTCTCTCTCTCTCTCTCTCTCTCTCTTTCTCTCCCTTGCTGTCTGCTCACAGAGAAGTCGTTTTAGGTGTATTGGAGTTTTTGAGCGAGACCTAGCTAGTTCGATAGAGAAAAAATTCGGAGCAAGATGTCGTTTTCCAAATCTGCTAACCGTGTGTGTATTCGGTAAAAATTATTTTAATGAAAAAAATTCCGTGGCGCCACGCAGCTTCCACAGATGGATCAGGTCCGGGACATTAGCCGCAATGCCACCAGCAGCCGCATGGAGATGGTGGCCTAGTGGATAGTGCAGGCGCCTATCAACCTTTTGCAAAATTATGCTGGCGGGTTCGGAACTTTTTTAATTAGCTGTTTTGCTTTTGGTTAACGCTATTGAGGCCATATTTGGCATCACAGAGCAAAAAGCAAAAGAGTTTCACTAGCGAGGAGTCGAAACCCGAAGGCAAAAAAAGATAAAACTTGTGAAGCAAATGCACTACCAATATGCCAAGCGATCATGGTGGTTCAAGGGTCTGAAGGGGGCTATGTTCACGTGCACCCCCCCCGGAGCCAAACCTGCGGATCAGCTGAGAAATGATGGACGAAATTAATGATTTTCAAATTAATTTTTATCGAATACAATACACGGTTAGCAGATTTGGAAAACGACATCTTGCTCAGAATTTTTTCTCTATCGAACTAGCAAGGTCTCGCTCAAAAACTCCAATATCACCCTAAAAACGACTCCTTGTCAGGCGCCCTCTCTCTATCACTTGCTCTCTCCATCTCGCTCTCTCCATCTGTTGCTCTCTCGTTCTCTCGATCTCGCTCACTGTCTCTCTCACTCCCTCTCTCGCGCGCGCTCTCTCTCTCTCTCTCACCATCTCTAGCCAGCTTAAAACGAAGTGGATACCTAGACTACACGACCTAAGTTTCGGCTTCAAAATATCTTTCTAGAACCGGAGCCCTACCTTGACAAATTCCCGCACGACCCGGTGTCGCTGGTAATCGCCATCGACGGCTCAGCCCCCGACGTCAAGCAGGTTTCAAACCCGTGTAGCCCAGTTAATCAGCCCAGATGATAGAATTCGCCGATCGTTACGTGGGACATAGTCTTGATGGGGGCACCACGCAGGTGGCCGCCTTCCTCTTCGGCTGCAAGGTAGGGCTGAACATTTTTGGAGCAGCAGTAAACCATAGCCCGAGCCTCTCTGTTCTTAAAAACCATTTTCTAGACCTCCCCGAGCCCACAAGCCTCCTACCAGGGCGACTTCAGAAAGTTCAGCGGTGGGTTGGGGCCGGACCATTGATGCAGAGTATTTTTAGTGTCGTTATCAGCTGCTGTGGAGAAGTGCGGAGGTGCTGATCCGAAATTTACATATTCCAGGTAGAGAGAGAGAAAGAGAGAGAGAGGGGGAGAGAGAGAGAGAGAGGGAGAGAGAGTAGAGAGATCAACTCCAACCTATCAGATTGATGGCCGACATTGCCTATTACTACTATTCCAACTACCCGGTCGTCACCTCCAAATTTACGGCAATCCCGGTGATGATCCTCACGAGCTTTGCGTAGGTTTTACGAGCTGAGGCTCAGGTTTAAGCTCCGACTCCCCGTAGGCTTGGCCTATGCGTAACCTGGTGCTGATTTTTAGAAACGGCGCCGGCGTCTACCCATTGACTCGGTTGAACACGCAGAGCCCGGTGGCGTTTGTTTATTCTGGAGCAGGTAAGGTATCCTCTCTCTCTCTCTCTCTCTCTTTTCATTTCACTCCCCCCCCCCCTCCCTCTCTCTCTCTCTCTCTCTCTCTCTCTCTCTCTCTTTCCTCTAATAACCCCCTTTCAGCCTCAAACTCCCTCGGGAACCTGGCACTCCCTAAAGGGACCGTGAATACAGTGCGGGATGCGGATTGGGAAGGAGCAGGGGAAACTCTGGAGAAATGGCTCGATCAGGCGCTCTACCGCCCGACCTCTCTGTACGTCTCGGTCATGTGGCTTAACGATAACTTAGAGGTGAACTATTTGCGCTTGTCGAGTTGGGCTCGCTGGTGGTGGCCGCCGAGCCGGGGGTGCTCTTCTCGGCCAACACTACAGGGGCGGCGTCGGCGCATTATTTGTGCGAGGTTGGACTGGCTAAGTATAAGTCGATCTTTTTATTTGTAGCTCTTTCTCTCGATTTCTCTCGCACTCTCTCTGTCTCTCTCTCTCTCTCATTCTCGCTCTGCCGCTCTCACTCTCCAATTTCAGCGTGCTGCCGAACTTAATGCCGAGCCAACCCCAGCCCATGTCTATTGCCCATCAAGCATGTTCTCCTTCGGCACCAAGTGCTACAGTGTCGAGGTGGACCTGATGGACTACGCGACAGCACAGAAGACCTGCCAAGAAGTCGTCTTCAAGAACTCCACCGACCTTGCGTACATCCAGACCCCCGAAGAGATGGAATACATCGCACAAGGTAGAGAGAAAGAGAGAGAGAGAGAGGGAGAGAGAGAGAGAGGGAGAGAGGGAGAAAGAGTGCATCATCAACTATAATAATTTTGTTGTGGTCTCCGTCCGTCTGTGTGAAGCCGAATTCAACTCGAAGGGGAAAGGAGCTAGAGCTTAGCTCTCTTCGGATTCGGATAGAGCGTGGTCGGAAACCCCCAAACTGATAAAAAAATTACGAAAAAGTTTTAGTTTAAATTATTAAAATTAACTTTGAAAGTTTTTTCCTTAGTAAAAGGGGTGGGGGACGGAGGTTGGGGTGATTTTGGACATAGTGAGCCAGGTCGCGCGCGTTTCGTGGATGAAAATTTTCACGGGGGATTTCATTTCTTTTTGCTCTCATTCCATCCGGTCGGTCGTTATTTTTGTTTTTTTAGGGGATTTCAGCCATGGGGGGTATCTAAAGCCATCAAGAAGGTATTTAGGTAGTTTTTGAAGGGGATTTCAGCCATGGGGGGTATCTAAAGCCATCAAGAAGGTATCAGGTTGGAAAGAAAGTAATGGCACAAAATCTTTAAACCGCTGTAAAATCCCGCAGGAACGTCCGATTTGAAAGATTGATATAAGGTTTGGTAGATCTTCGGATGCTCTATCACAAGACGACCCTCAAAGCACCCAAAAACGGACGTACGCGAAGATACAGGCTTCGGAAGTTTCGCAGAAAATTGAGTGAAAGCTTTTAAGCGAGATATCTCTGCATACAAACATTTGCATACGATACCTTTAACACCAATCGATAGCTCTCGAGGAGTAGATATCGATAGATGTTGAGATCATCAAAATCGGAAACTGCATGGCCGAGATATGGCTCGTAGAATTTTGGTCCACCTGTTAGAACTTTTCCCGAAATCCCATACATTTTGGCCTGCGCGAGCCAAAAACTGCTGCGTTTGCTTCAGCTCCCGAACCAAAATCCAGAAAATGCATTGATTTTGGAAGGCCCATATCTCGGCCATGCAGTGTCCGATTTTGATGATCTCAACATCTGTCGATATCTACTCCTCGAGAGCTATCGATTGGTGTTAAAGGTATCGTATGCAAATGCTTGTATGCAGAGATATCTCGCTTAAAAGCTTTCACTCAATTTTCTGCGAAACTTCTGACGCCTGTATCTTCGCGTACGTCAGTTTTTGGGTGCTTTGAGGGTCGTCTTGTGATAGAGCATCCGAAGATCTACCAAACCATATATCAGTCTTTCAAATCGGACGTTCCTGCGGGATTTTACAGCGGTTTAAAGATTTTGTGCCATTACTTTCTTTCCAACCTGATATTTAGGTAGTTTTTGAAGGGATTTCCAGCCATGGGGGGTATCTGAAGCCATCGGGAAAGTATTTAGGTAGTTTTTGAAGGGGATTTCGGCTAGGAAAGGTATCTAAAGCCATCAGGGAGGTATCGAAGCAGTTTTTTAAGTGGATTGCATGAAGGGTAGCCGAAGGCCAGATGGTTACAGTCGCGAAGCGACTGGAACCATCTGGTATTTAATACTTTAGAAATCGACAAAACCGACGCCGCAAAGGGGCAATCCAGATTTTGGATAGGATTGAATGCGAGGGATTGTGTGAATTGCACGGCTGGAGCTGGGGTAAGTCCTGATTTTGAATTTTTAACTCTAAAGGGGCCGGGACAAGGATAGATAATTTTGGTATTTTAAATCTTTTCAGTTGGATCAATTTGGCTGGGCCTCTGGACAAGAACTCGATGAGGCGATGAGCTTCTTCCGGGAAGGTGGGGTTTCGAAAACCTCGCTCTCTCACTCACCTCTATGTCTCTCTCTTTCTCGCGCTCTATCTCCCGCTCTCTCTCTCTCTCTCTCTCTCTCTCTCTCTCTCTCTCGATCACTCTCTCACTTTCAGGCTGGCCCCGACCTGGCCCCGAAGAACTCTGCGTCGCCTACGTCCAGAATGACAAAACTTGGGTAAGCGAGAAGCCGGTTCTCGGTCACGAAACCTTTGCTGTCACCACCTCTTTAGTGCATTTCTGGATTTTGGCTTCAACATCCCTTTAAAACGTCAGCCCCGTATTTCCAGGTGAACACGGTGTGCACAAACAAATACATGGCGATCTGCTGGAAGGACGCGGCTACCGTAATCCCCACCACGGCCAAACCGAAACCTTAAGTATACGGCTTTTTGCCTGTTTCCCGGGCTACGGTAGTGCAAGCACCAAAGATCTGATATAAACGCTTCATTTAAAATTTAAATTGTAGAGCAAAACAACGCAAAAGAGGATTTCGGTAGGAAAATGCACCTGATTACCCCTATCTGGAGTGAAATAAGAATGAGCTTTTTAAAGGGATCAGCAAGTCTAAAAACTGTATTTTACAGTAAGAAACCATCTCCAGAATGCTACTAATAACATTTAAACGGTTAAAGACACAGGTAAGCCCAGAAAATAGTGTGTTTTCAGACGACTTTTCGGAACAATCCGCCAAGAATTTTCGGGTTTAAAAAATACTGGATTAAATTTTGAGATTAAATTGAACGTGTTTTAAAAAGTAGCTTCTGCAGTAATAAAATGTTGTGCGATTCCAAAACGCCGCAGAGCAACGATCGTTTACTGTGTACACCCGCAAATTAGACATGTACGCATGGCCGTTTCCCTGGAAACTCGTTCGACTTTGTGGAATCGCGACGGGTGGCCAGCACCTCATATGGGGGTACGGTAGTCGCTTCTGCAGGTGGAGAAACGGCCTGTGGGAGCATGATTTAGCATTACAAAGCGATGGGGCTTACGGTAGCTGTGGGGGCGGGGGCAAGTAGTTTGGCCCGTGCCATCGCGTCTTCATAGGATGGGGGAGGGCCTGGAATTTGGGGGGTTTAAACCAAAGCGAAACGGTGGATGTCAAAAACCATTTTGTCGGCATTTTATTTGTCGAAATTTGTAGAATTGACTCAAACTTGCGGAAAGATACGTATTGAAATTGGTCAAAATGACATTTCGATAGAATACCCCGCTAATTCAAAAATTTAAAATCCTTATGTCTCAAAAATTAGAGCAGCTGCTTTAGATCCAAGTCCAGATTCCGAATCAGCACAAAAAGCTGGTTTAGAAATCGATTTAAAACTACAAAGACCACAGACTACACCCACGCAGCGGGGGCTGAAATGCCTTCGGTCCGGAACTTGCCGGTTTTGAAAATTAAAAATCTATATTTCAAGAACTAGAGTTGCCAGCAAAAATCTAAGCATATATTTGGAATCAGCGCATAAAACTCGTCCAGAAGCGAACTGACGACTAGAAAGACTAAAAACTACGGCTTCATTTGGTGAAGCGGAAGGGACGCTGCTTTGACTTTTCCGATGTGACATTAAAGTGCATATAACTCAAGAACAACGGTTATTGGGAAAAATCTGAGTGGATCGTTAGAATCCGGGCAAAAAAACTGGCCTAGAACCGGCTACAAGCTACAGGCTACAAACTACACACTAACACTCACTCTGTTGCTCGCTGTATTCCGGTCCCGGCTCGTCCATCACCCACCACAGCGGCCACCTCGGCGCTTCCCGGCCGTGATTCTCCTCTTGTCTAAGCACCATTTCTAAATTTTTGCATTTTGAAAAGCATGCCGTTCCACTGTACCCCTCCTCATCTGGCGTCGCTGGCTGAATTTGGCAAAGACGCAGCGACAGCACGAGATCAGGATCACGAAGATGATGATGTCGAGGGCGAATAGCAGCATTTTGTAGACTGGCTGGAATTTGGAAAAGGTTCTCATAGTTTCTGCTAGCTCACGCTCATGTTAGTTCATGTGCCAATGTTCACTCGATTTTATCAAGTCTGAAATGGTTTCTGCTAGCTTCCCGGCCCGCTGTTTTGCTCAAGGCTCGCTTTTAATGTACCAGCTGAACGTAGAAAATCTCAAATGGTCTCTGCTAGCCTGCCCGATGTAGAAGCCTAACCAATCCGCCGACTCACCATATCCTTCCACCAGACCCGCTCCTCATCACCAAAATCGCGGGATTGAGACCCCTGTCGAGTCAGGAATGCAGACCGCCCATCTTGGCCGGCCGGTGAGGGTTGTTGAGGACCACGCTGGAGTACAGGACGCGTCCGGTATTCACATCTTGGACCGAAATAACCGATGAAGCACGAGCAGATCTGGAAACCGGATCATGATCTTTGACTCTTTCTCTCTCTCTCTCTCTCTCTCTCTCTCTCTCTCTCTCTCGCCTACCTGAACCTCCGTTTGCCCGGGCGCTATACACCGGAAGTGATTCTCCACGGTTTCGGGCTTCTCGAACGTTGAGCAACTGAAAGTAAGTTTCGGCTTAGGTTTGGGCTTAGGCTTAGGCTTAAGTCTAGCCAGCTATAGCCTTAGTTTTAGGGTTGGTCTCCGGCTTAGGCTTAAGCTTAAGCTTCTTCGGTTTAGAAACAAACTTACGAAACATTTCGCAACCGTCCACTCAAGCAGCTCTGCAAGAATTGGCATCGATCGCCGTAGAATCCGATGTGGCAGTGGCAGGGTGGCCCTGGAAATGGCCAAGCTAGCAGGCATCGTTGGGGAATTTCCGGGTTTCGTTAGTGCGCAAATAGGGGCCGGGGTAGAAACAGGCACCCCAAACCCACCATTAGCGCGTGCTGCCCAAACGGCCTCTCGCTCTAAAAATGAGCATGGTGAGAGAGCGAGAAAGCGAGAGAGAGAGAGAGAGAGAGAGAGAGAGAGAGAGAGAAAGCGAGAGAGAGAAGCTAGAAGTCGTTACCATATATCCGTAGCTCGTAGTCGTCTGGGTCCCGACGGGATCACAGTAGTGTGACAATCCGAGACCTGAAAAATCTGGGTTATTCCCGGGTTTGTTGCGACTTACCTCCACCATAGACTGTGGACACGTCCAAGATGAGGCACAGGATGATACTGGACAGCATTGAGAGGCTGGAAATGGCTTTTTACAAAGCGAGATGTGGCTAAAATGACTTAGAAAGCTTCGAAACTTGGAGAAAAACAGCTTCAAACGCCTCGGCAAAAAAATGCGTAAACATAAAAACAATTTTAACGTCTTAGGTCTTAAAAAAACTCCGAAAGCATGCCGGAAGGGGCTAGAATACATGACTTGGGAAACTTAAGACGGGCTTGGTGAGCTTGGAAACCCGGAAAAGGTAAACGAATCCATTAAAGAGCTTCTAGAGCTTAACGAGCGGCTTCGGAAGCTTGAAAAGTTTAGAATAATTCAATTTATTAGCATGCAGAGCGCAAAAATCAGCTGGAGCTTTGACTTGCTTCTGACAGGCTTCAAAGCTTTGTAAGCTTCGAAAGACTGCAAAAAAAGTCGGTCAAGAACCCAACCCGAAAATCACATTTCGAAGCCGCGAACACCCACAGAAATTCGCACAAAAAGCCGCGACGCGAAATTTGCACGTGTTGCATGCGAAAATGGGGCTCAGGGAAAGGAAGCGAAATCGGGTAACGATTACTTCCTTCTTGTGACGAAAAGGGGGGAAGGGAAGGGAATATTGTTGACTTTTCAGACGAAAGAACTGAACGGCTTATCGATTAGGGAATGACGTGCCCAGGCAGGTGAGGAGGAAAGAGGGAAGTTCAACAGGTTCAAAACATGGGTTATTCAAGGGGTTGTGAGGTGTAGAGAGAGAGAGAGACCTGAAAAAGGTAGTGAGAGAGACAGAGAGATCGGGAAAGTGAGAGTGAGCGAGAGAGAAAGAGACAGAGAGTGAGAGATAGAGCCAGAGAGTGAGAGGGCGAGAGAGCGAGAGATGAGAGAGAGGGAGAGAGAAAGTGATAGAGCGCGCGAGAGAGGGTATGCCACCCATTAGTGTCTGAATACAGTCATTTCGTACCGACCAGAAGCCACCGGCCCGCGGCAACATCGATTTTCCCAATCAGAATGTCTTCAGATTGAGGCTGATAAGGGCTTCTCCCTCCCCGTCCCATATTTTCCCCTATGTTTTTCATCACCCCCCCTCTCCTCGGGTGCCGAAATCGATGCAAAAACAGATCCCGGCCAGTGCTAATGAAATCAAAAATCTAAGAACCAAAAACAGCTCCCTTAACGCGGTGGCCGCGCCGCGACACGCATTATGCACCCTTTCATTGCGTAGTAGATTACGCTCCGTTCGGTAAGTGTGTTGCGTTCCGCGTCGCGGCTGCGCTGAGTAATACTCCGTAGCCTCGGCTATAACCTTAAAGTAAGCTTTTTTGGTGTATAGCTTTCAGCAACGCACAACTTTTTCTTCTTTCGTCAGAACCAAATTTATTGCAAGAAAAAAGCATAAAAATCCATATATCCTAGTTTCAATCAATATTCGCGCTCCTCCTCCATTGGCAACAGATTGTAGACGTCGGCTCGTCGACGGCCAAGCGTTCCGCGTTTCCTAAACGTTCCGTATAGCTACTATTGACGGATACGGTACTTTAGCGTTGCTCCTATTGACGCTAATTTGATTGTCCGTTCCGTTACTATCCACAAAACCGAATAAAGTAATTAGGTGTGGCTCGTCGAAACGATTACGATATTTCCGTCTCATTACTTTTACACTGCAACTGAATTATGACGTATTTCTACCTCAGATAGCGCCAAATAAGCCACAACGGTATCGCCAGCGAGACGAACGACACGATCCCAGCCAGCATCCATTTGCCCGCATCTAAATCAATGCGTTACGGTGGAAAATAGCACTTTTTAACCAACCTGGACATCTAATCGGAACCGCCAACTGGTATGGAAGATTTTTTGGGTGGTATTCGTTCTAAAAAGTGATAAAATTTGTTTTACCTTTCCAGCGCGATCAATAAAATCCGGTGATTTTTAATATAAAAATAAATGAAAAAACTACCGTATTTTGAATGACTGGAAAATATCGCGTAGTCAGCTCTAGGTCAATCGGTTTTGCTTTTTCCCTCGAGCTCGGCCGCTTCTTCAATTTCCTGTCGTAATCGATTTCCGAGCTATCTTTTTTCGGCTTTTCCTCCTCCTCCGAATAGTCCACAACCTTCTTGGCTTTTTTCTTAGGCTTGGCTTCGGGCACGGCCTCGGTTTTTGTCGACTTTGTCGGCTTGGCCTCGGTTTTCGCTTCGATTTCCCGGCTTTTCTGGGCTTTCTTCGGCTTAGCTTCCGCTTCAGCTTCCTCGCTTCCAGCCAGGATTGCCTTTAATCGATCGGCCTTCTCATCTACCGCCTCATCAACGGCTTCTTCCTCATCCTCATCCCAATGCTTTCGAGATGCCTTCTTTTTCATCGTTTTATTGGGGTTTTCTGAAGCTGTTTAGCTTTCTATATAAAATGAAATAGAACGAGGGCATTCAATTACAAAAAAATCCAAAAAGCTTCAAGAAAAATAATATAAGATAAACATGGATAAGCAGGAGTATCAGTCAAGCCAAACCGAAGCCTTAGTCAAGCTAATCAAGTGAGGTGAAGCCAAGCCAAGTCAAACCGCCTGATGAGCTAAGCCAAGTCAAGCGACGGCAATCCAAGCAGAAACCTAAGTCTGGGTTTAGCTCAAAGGTAAGCCAAGCCCAAACGAAGCCAAGAGCTTTTCAAGCTAAACCCGCCAAAATCGATCTTAAGCTTCGCAATGTCTTTTCCCGGTCCTATCAGCCGATAGTTCCCTGTCTTGATTTGAATGGCAGGCGCGCGGGCGGCCGTTTGGTTTTTCCGAGTTTCTGCCAAAAATCTAGGCAGAACTTGAGTTCCGAAGCAATCCTCTGGATGCCAGTTTTGAGTGCACATATCATCTTCTTGAATGGGCTATCATCTCGAAAAAGTTCTACCGTAACCCGTTGATTTATTCAAAATCCCGAAAGAAAAATCAATAATTCTGCGGTATCACAAATTGTCGTCGATTAGATGGGCATTCGGTGGTTTGTATTCTTTACGGCAGAATGGGCAGCCGCCCTTCTCCACGACGGCCATCTCCCATTCATCAGCTTCGAATAGCTGAAGCAAGGTTCTATCGGTCTCTCTCTCTCTCTCTCACCTTACAACAGCTCGGACATTGCGCAATCGCAAAAGTCGGCATCACATTGAAGAAGTATCGCGTTGGAAGCGGGTCACGCTGCTCGGAAATTACGACCTGAAAAATCACAAATTCTTGAAGTCCCGAAAAATCCCTGCTAGCCTGCCCCTCCCTGTATTCCTTACATGACCCTTGTCCATCTTCTCCAGTTGCTTTAGGCTGCAGATCACAGGAGAACCGCGCTTCTGAAAAACTGGTTTAGGAGGATGAAAGAGACAGAACCAGAGCGAGGGGGGAGAGAGAGAGAGAGAGAGAGAGAGAGAGAGAGAGAGAGAGAGAGAGAGAGAGAGAGCGAAAGAGAGAGACCCTACCGTCTCTTGTATCGGACTGTAGTCGGGCTGGCCCATCGGCGGCTCGGCCAGAATGTGGAATTTCGCGTCGCCGGAGCTGACCCCCGGCTCGACGAAGAATTCGACGAGGGGAAGGACTTCTGTAAAATAGAAAAATTCCATTATTTACCTAATAACGAACCTAACGTTGCGAAGCTATAGACGTAAGGTGTCGAGCAGTGCACACATTTCTGGGTTACGGTAAGCGGGCTGGTGATTCCGCACCTGAAAAATGTGGTAACGTATCTCTCTCTCTCTCACTCTCTCACTCTCACTACAACTCTCTCTCTCACTCTCACCTATAACACATTGGCAGCAAATCCTCTCGATCCGTAAACGGCTTTGCCCTCACTTTTACCGTAGCCACCTCCACTAGCTTTTCGTACCTGAAGTTCATTTACCAATTTATAGCTTTTTTTTACAAACCTGGGCGGCAACCTCAGCTGCGTCAACCGATCCAGCCCCTCCCTCGCCAGCTTGTACGCTCCCAACTCTTGCCCCAGCTTCGCCAGTGTGTAGTTGATCATGCTTAAAGAGATGAGGACGGCATCTGTTGAACCCCCTTGGGAGGGGGGTTCAACAGGTCCCGCGGCGATCTCGCGCGAGAGAGGGCTCCCAGAGGAGAGGCGCAGAGACATTTTCTTTCCCTCGCGTAATCGATTGACTTATGCCGCCCCTATCTCTTTAAAGATTTGTTCGCTCTTCCCCTTTCGCTCTCACTCTCTCTCTCTCTCTCTCACTCTCTCTCTCTCTCTCTTCAACTCACACTTTCGATACGCGCCGATACGTCGGATAGGGTGATAGGAAGCGAGCAGCATTCAGCAGGGTAGTAACAGGCAATCGGGTAAATGGCTGACTGCAGAAGCGGTGAATCCACTCGAACACCCAGTAGACGTCGGCGTCGTTCAGGGCTTGTCTGAGGTATGGAAGCGTCAGTGCGAGAGAGGGAGAGAGAGTGAGCGAGTGAGTGAAGGAGATCGAAACAAGCTTACAGAGCCTTCGGCAAAATCCCCGGATTCTTGTGGACCCGATCCAAATACTGGAAGCCGAGCAGCCAGTTGTAGTATCCGGCGTCGGAAAAACTGGAAATGTCTAATTTTTATGAATTTCTTGATCCCAAACAGTTTATGCTAGCTTGCCCATCAGTAATTCCTAGATGATTTTCTTTTGGTTCACACCCTGAACCCGAGCCGGATAATTAAAATCCGGAAAAATATCTGCTAGCCTGGCTGATTCAAGACGTTCGGAGAAACTCCCAAAGAATCTCTGCTAGCCCTCCCCACCGATCCTCCATAATTGCGTTCTCCGTCAGCTGCTCCAACACTTTCAAAGCTTCTGCGTCGCTTCCGGCCAGGTGGAACGCTGTAAGGTGCTTGGTCTCCTGGTCTCTCTCTCTCTCTCTCTCTCTCTCTCTCTCTCCCATACCCTGTTGCGCTTCATCGAATTTGTCTTGTTCCGCGAGACTCCGCGCGTACGGCAGATAGACGGTCTCTTTGAATTTTGGGTATCGCTCCGCGATGGCAAATGCCTGGAATAGGATTAATTTATGGGATTCTAGAAAAGCCCACATCGTTCCAGTGCTTGGCGGAGACGTGCATCTCCAGAAGGGATTGGACATCGCCAATTTCCTGAAAAATTACGGTTTTTAAGCGAGAAAGAGAGCGAGAGAGAGAGAGAGAGAGCGAGAGAGAGAGAGAGGGAGAGGAAGAGGGAGATAGAGAAATCGAGAGGGCCCAAGCGAAATAGAGAGTGGTAGCGAGCGAGAGAGGGAGAGAGAGAGAGATACTAAGACTCACCACAAAAATCTTGCTGGCCACCCCATAATCCTTTTTCGAGATAAAATACGCTGCTAGCCGACGCAAATTCGTATGATCCGTCCGTTCGATACGCCGTAGCGCATTAATGGCCCTAAAAACACAACATCCATCCAACTCAACGTTTCTCTAAAAATCGCTGCTAGCTTGCCCATCCCCGTCGCTCGGGCACGACTTCAACAGGGACATAGCCTGTCCCAACCCCGAAGATAACTCACAAATCGTGCCAGTCATGCTCCTCGATCAGCATGATGGCCTTCTCGAAGTCGCCGGAAGCGATGAACATCTCGGCAGCCACCTGAAAGCCAGAAAAACATTGTTAGAAAATTTATTTTAAATCCAAATCTGCTGCCTTTTCAAAATGTCACAATTCAAAATCCCGCGCCCCTGCTACCTTACCTTTGGCTCGTTGCTGTCGCGGGCCCAATCCGCTCTCTTGCGCAACAGCATCCGCTGCGTCTCCCCCGAGGTGTTCGCCATGATTTCCTGGAAAATTGAATTTTTTAGTCTCGAATTTGTCAATCACAGCTTTAAAGTTTCCCCAGACTGAAAAGTAATCCTATTTTCCTTGAATTTTTACCTGTGCCTCGTCAAACATTCGCATATCCGTGTAGAGCTCGAGGGCTTTTTTGTTCTTGGCCGTTTTGTCTAGAATGAAGATGGAAGTTTGTAGTTTATTGACATCTCTCTCGTCTCTCTCTCTCTCTCTCTCTCTCTCTCTCTCTCTCTCTCTCGCTCCGCCAAAAAAAAACCTACTTGTAAAGCTGGGCACACTCGTGGAATTTGCCCTGGTAGGCGAGCAGCAGGGCGCGCACATTTAGGTCACTCTCGCCTCGCTTTTGCATTTGCTGAAGAGAGGCTTAGGATTCGCTTGGCTTAGCTTAGGCTTAGCTTAGGCTTAGATTAGGCTTAGCTTAGGCTTAGCTTAGGCTTAGCTTAGGCTTAGCTTAGGCTTAGCTTAGGCTTAGCTTAGGCTTAGCTTAGGCTTAGCTTAGGCTTAGCTTAGGCTTAGCTTAGGCTTAGCTTAGGCTTAGCTTAGGCTTAGCTTAGGCTTAGCTTAGGCTTAGCTTAGGCTTAGCTTAGGCTTCAGCTAACTACGCTAATAAACCCACGATAATCGACGCGATCAACGTCAGCTTGCGGAGATCGCGATTCCGGGCAAAGCACTTGGCCGCCTGCTGCAGTTGCAGGTGGGCGAGGCACTGGAATCGTAGTTTTTTGCTTTCCCGACCCCTTTAAAGTACTGTCCTTTTTAGTTCCTTTAACAAATCTATCCCTCATGGCCAAGCCGCGACACGCAACGCGCCCGCCCGCTGCGTTGCGTAGCGCGGCATAGACGAAACCCATAGTTGTGACCAGGCCCGTACCGGTGCCGAGATTTCGGGGGGGCACCCACCCAAAAAATTTTGACGACCTCCCCCCGGTCACCACTTTCAAAACATTCGAAAATAGCGACCAAAACAGCGCCGCAGGCGAAAAAAATTAGAAAACCGCGTTTATAACGCTTAAATTCTCGTGAAAACACATCGGAAACGGCGCCGCGCGCAAGCGAAATTTTGTGCAGCAAAAATGGTGCACTAATGAAAACGAGCGCCGCAGGCAAAAATTTTAGAAAAATAGGTTTTCTAGAAGTAAAAATCGTTTTGAAACAATGATAAACAGCGCCGCAGGCAGAAAAATTTTTGCGAAAAAAATCATAAGGGTCCCCCCTTATGAACTTTTCGGACCTCGACCGATTTCGGGGGGGCCGGTGCCCCCCTCGTACGGGCCTGGTTGTGACTTACAAACCCCTTTAATCACCAAACTCACCGATTTGCCGAGATCGTCCCAATCCTCCCTCGTCACCCCATGGCATGCCACCTCATAGGCCGTGCTGAAATTTGCATATTTTGTCTAGAATTTGAAAATTAGCATAAAGCCGTCTCATCTATTATCATAGCTACTCAGCATACGCATGTCCGGAAATGCGCGCTGACTACAATATATAAGCCTTTTTGGCCAAAATCGCGACATTCGAACCAGCCATGGCCACCGTGGATCGTCGCTTCTGCGCCCTCTGCAACTCGTCCATCGGTGAGGAGGTGGGTTATTGACCTTGCTAGGCTTTTCAAAACATTTTTGGTTCACGGGTTCCTTTCTCTGATTTCAGGCGGTCGTCGCGATGAATCGGCTGTGGCATCCGGACCATTTCGCGTGCCACCAGTGCAAGCGCCCCATCAAGCAGACGTTCCAGGCGGCCGAGAATCACGCTTACTGCGTGCAGTGCTTCGCCCAGAAGTACAACCCTAAGTGTGCCGGTAAGGGCGGTTAGAGAGAGAGAGAGAGCTAATTTTCTGGCGTTATGCTGCGCACTGTCGGGTACTGCAGCACAGTGTATACTAGCGTAGCGCGTCGTAGAGTAGCGTGCTCGTAGCGTAGCGTAGGTTATCGTAGAGTATCCTATCGTAGCGTATCATAGCGTAGCGTGCTGTAGCGTATCGTAGCGTAATGTATTCGATCGTAGCGTAGCCTATCGTAGCGTATCGTAGCGTAGCGTAATGTATCGTAGCATAGCGCGTTAAGTATCGTAATGTAACGTATTGTAGCGTAGCTTATCGTAGAAAATCGTAGCGTAGTTTCTAGTACCATGCCTTCTTTTCAGGCTGCAAGACGACCTTGGTGGACACTTGCCTGATCGCGCTCGACCACCACTGGCACCCGTCGTGCTTCACCTGCACGTCGTGCAGCCGCCCTCTGCCCAATGGAGAGTACTACTTGGTATGCAATTTCTCTCTCTGGCTCTCTTTCTCTCTCTGTCTCTCTCTCTCTCTCGCTCCCCTCCAATTCCCTCTCTCCAGGTTGACGACAAGCCCTACGACCTCGACTGCCACTGGGCCAAGCGGCTTGAGAAGCGTGAGCACCAGGAGCGTGATGGTGTCGTCCCGAACGGGCCGAACTGCCGCCAGAAGCCCTATTAGAGCTGTTTCTCTGCGTCTCCCTTATCTGCTCCCTCTCTCTTCCCTTACATATCCATCCAACCGTTATCCCTACCCTCCCCCCACCTCGTCTCAATTCTTCCGATCTCCATTGTGCTTCTTTTACCGGGTCTGTAGAAATAAACGGTCTGCATTTTCGGTTTGTACAGAATGCTACGCATCCCGCCGTACAGAGGAGCTTTGCGTAGCAACGTAACGGGAATTGGAGCCGTGACGTACTACACCGGCGAGAAGAGAAGGAGTTGTGCGTAGTACCGTATTAACCTCAGGAGGCGACGCGTATCAACCTACAGGGAAGAGCGGATGAAGATTTCTGGAATCATGCAGGGAGACCTTGTGTACTACCGTACCTTGGCGTAAATAGAAAGGTTTCGTACTGCCAAAACATAAAATCCAAGAGAACCACAGTACCCTAACGTCGATAGGGGCTTTCCGTACTACCATATCTACGTACATAGAATTGAAGCGTACTAGAGTACCCCAGCTGTCCGAGGACCTTCCGAAAGCTTAGCTACGCAGATATTCGCAGGTAGTACGTACACAAACTCCTTCCGGTCCACAAAATGCCGCACGTGCGACGCGAACGATATCTCGACGGCCGTCATCGTGTACATGTGCAGACAGTAGACCATATTGCCCGTGAAGCCGACGACGAAGCCCTGCAAGGTTTTTTGTTGCTCTCTCGCTCTCTCGCGCTCTCTCGCTCTCTCTCTCTCTCCACTCACCATCATTCTCTGCGTCGTGCTGGGCCCCATCCCGACGCGCACCGTCAGGATGCCGTTACCTAAACGTTGCCCTGTAAGCCATTCAGCAACTGCGCACCGTACGGTATCGTACAACTTTCCGTAATTTGTAAAATGACGTACTTTGTGAAATAATATCAACTTACCCGAGTAGCAGATGAGATTCTCGTACTCCGTGTTGAAGGCGATGCTGTTGCAGTTTGGCTCCTGAATTTGGTGGGGTGAAAAAGTTTCTGAATCGGGATTAGAACAAACATGAGCCGCAACCTCAACCTGCTCCCGAGCTCGAGCTTAATCCCTAGGCATAAGCCTAGGCCCTCAAAAACTGACCTGAAACAACACTTCCATCGTCTTCAAATTGAACACCATCGCGATCCCGTTCTCATCGACCAGCCCCAAAAATCTCCTGTAAAAGCAGTTCTACCGTACTCTGGAAAGTACCGTACTGGGTAGAATCGCATTGTCTGGTGTTTTCTTACCGTGATAGAGATAAATCGAGGCATCGCACCGAATTCGCGAGCTTCAGAATGGGCACCGGAAACGGGTTGTCGATGAAGAGCTTTTGGATCTGAAGGGAATGTTGGAGATCCACTAGGCCTTTCCTACCTGACCATCTCGGAGTCCAAGAAGGATTGTCTCACGTCCGGCCGGCCCGCCGGAAACCTGAAATTGAAAAAATTAGGCAAAATTTCTCAAAAATCGTTGCTCGTATGCCTCAAATTTCTGCTAGTAGTAAGCCCCGATCCAAAGACTGTGAATTTTCAAAGAATCTTTATTGCTTCCTGTCCGACATGCAGAAGAATCCCATCTACAAGGATCTCTGCTAGCTTGCCCGACACACAGAACCCTCCAAAATCTCACCTTAATGTACCGTATATGAGTCTCCGCGATCCATTCCCGTTGCCGTAACCCTTTATGATCATAACAATCGAGCTTCTGCTCACTACACATCAATACGTGCCGAGCAGTCACCACCTAAAAGCTCTTTCAATTCCGCTACTCTCAACCCACCAGCAATGAACACTCGAACGATTTGAGAATCTTGTCGACCAGCTTGTACTCCAGCGGCTCCCCCGGGCGATCCCCGCTGACCTGCTTGTAGATGTTGATCCGGTCCGAGAGTTGCACCTGAAAATTCGGGGTGTTTAAAGGGGCTGTGAAGCCGGCGTGATGATTCGTCAGCTCTTTCTTGGCTTCCTCTGGGTCGGAAAATGTCGAAAAAGTGATAAGGCAAATGGCGACAACCAAAACCAGGACGCAAAAATCCCGACAATCAAAAAATACCGACAGCCAAAATCCCGCCATCGATGCTGAATTGTAGTGCAACTTTATTGAGCTTGTCGGGATTTTGGCTTTCAGGACTGGCATATCGGCACTCTGATGGGAATGATTTTATCCTGCCGGCACTTTGCTGTCCGTATTTTTGTGTTGGGAACATGACTGTTGGGATTAAGGTTATTTTTGATGTCGGCATTTTCGTTGTCGATATTTTGGCCTGAACTAACCGCCAATTTGTTGTCGCAGATGGCAACCTTCTTCACCAGATCGTAGCACTTGATGCGGACTTGGGTATGGCGGGATAGGTGCTGAACAACTACATCCGTCATCCCCTCGCGGTTCGCGTATCTGAGCACGAGTTTTCATTGCGTAATAGGATAAAAATTCTAGGCAACAGACTACCGACTAAAGTTCGTAAGTTACCTCTCGTTATGCAACCCGTGTACGGTGCTGAACATGAGCTGATAGCACGCGATCGTCCCGTCGATGCAGCCGGCCAGAATTTCGTAATTAAGGCTCAGCCTAATGCTCAGCTTACCGACGAGTATCATCGAATTTGGACGGATGGCTAGCGACCAGATCCAAGTGTCCATCTGTGAGATCGTGCCAAGCTTGATCCCTAAATTCCGGCAAGTTTTCAGGCACCTCCTAAATGGTCTCTGCTAGCCTGCCCTTTCTTACCCATTCTCGTGTAGAGCATTGCCGCCTTGTTCGACCCGCCGATCACCAGGAATTGGCCCGCGTTGAAGTATTGGAGGCAGGTGGGGTCGTAGTTGAGCTCGCGTTCACGGGCGTTTACCTAAAAATATTGGGTTAGTGTCATGCTCCCTTTAAAACCAACGTCACCACTGCCCTTACTCTCTTTCTATCGATCTTGCAAGGAAACGTTGGCTTTACGTGAGAGAGAGAGAGAGAGAGATCGTGATAGAGAGGAGTAATAGAGAGGAGTAAGAGAGAGGTGGAGCAAGATTAAAGTCGGCAAGCACGAGAACGAGAGCGATATAAACTACAAAACCACACCTTCATGCCCTCCAGATCATAGAACGAGATCGTCCGCGCCCAGTCCGTAATGCAAAGAACCTCGCCGGTCGGCCTAAATTTGATTTTTTAATGTTGACTTGAACTTAAAACTTTTAAGTGTCTTTATAAACAATTATATTCATTACAAAATTATCAATTTCATCTGCTCACGAGCTCCATCTCTAGATCCAAAAAACTCACTGATCCGCATATCGTGAGCTGCCATCTTCGGCCCTAAAAAGTGCCATCGACTCCGCAACGCTACCACTTACACCTTTGGCGGGCTGAACCCCAGGGCCCAAATCGGCTCTCCGCCAGGCCTCTCGATCTTGACGTGGTGCTCCTGTTGGCTCTGGCAAAAAAAATGGCGGTTTTATAGGAGCTGAGAAGTCAAGTTATAATGTGGGCAAGCTCTGAGTCCTTTGACTTCACAGCTCCTTTAAATGACCATACCGGCTCGTTGCTGAGTACGTCGGTGATGCGCTTCATGTAGACGGCCCCCTCAAATGTGCCGATCGCGAACATACTGTAAAAATACGGGTCATCAAGTTCAAGGAGGACGGCTTAAAGGGACCGGCAAGGTTCGATCCTCGGGAACCCGGCTCTTGGGATTTTAGCTTGTCTGTTTTTGGGTGTCAGTATCTCGGCTACCTGCCATCCTGATTCCAGGCGGCCGACGTCGCCCTGCCCTGCACTCGAATCTTGGCCACATTCGACTCCTCCCCAGACCAGATCCCTGAAATCTAACTGAGTTAAAGGACTTTGGCCTGTTGGGCCCTTTAAAATCGGCAAAAGGGCCGTAGGGAGGACTAGCAGAAACCCTTTGCAAGCTCACCAAAATCCGAAAATGCCACCGATAGCAGATAGGGCTGTGTTGGGGAGAAGATGACCTTCTGGATCGCCTCGTGGTGCCTAAAAATTAATCCATTTTAGACATCTAGTCCATTTTAAACAGACTTTTAGACTTAAACTTAAACATAAAAGCGTTATTTTTTTAGCAGTGTCTCCATTTTAGCCATACAAAGTTGGTCCCTAAAACTGCCGCGTTGTTCAGCTCCATCGTAATATCTCCCCATAAATTCCCGAACTGCGCCCGGTCTTCCAGAATTCAAATTCGATTAGCCGGAAATACACAGCCCTGGCGCGAAAGCGCACCCCATTCTACCGTAACCCCGATGAATGGACCCTTAAGGGGCGGCCAGCTGGGTCTCGAATGAATTGTCTATCACGATCTCTCTCACTCTCTCTCTCTCTCTTTCTCTCTCGCTCTCTCTGCCTCTCTCTCTTCTGTGACGAATTCGTTTTGCGTAAAAACAGGAAGTAGGGGATGTTTCGAGACACAGCCACGCTATAATATGCCTAATACTAGACCATGGAAGGGTAGGGAGCCTGAATATTCGATGAGCATGAACTTTCGGGCTCAAAAAAGAGTCCACTCCCGAGGAGTAGTAATGATTAGGGATGAGCTTCGTCTAGGCTTACTATTCGGCTTGAGTTTCGATGTGGCAAAATTTTCAGGTTCCCGGCGAGAGAGAGAGAGAGGGAGACGGAGAGGGAGAGAGCGAGAACGACAGAGAGAGAGAGCGAGAGAGAGAGAGAGAGAGAGAGAGAGAGAGAGAGAGAGAGAGAGAAGAGCGAAGAGCCAACCCAAATAACCCACGTGTATTTCAAAGTCCCTTCGTGCTGCTCGGTCCAGAGTATTACCGACTTATCCGCGCTGCCAGTCGCGAACCGTTGCCCATCGTACGACCAGGCCACCGTATAGACAAGGTCTTTGTGCCCTGAAATTGCTATTTTAGGGGAACGAGAGAGAGAGCGAGAAAAAAGAGAGAGCGAGAGATAGAGAGAGTGAGAGAGGGAGAGAGTGAGTGAGTGAGAATTGTGCTTTTACCTACCTTTCAACGCCTGCAACAACGTGCCGTCCACACCGTCGTAGATCAGCACCCGCGTGTCGGCCGCCACGAGCAGCTCGGACCCGTCCGGCTTGAACGCCATGTCGTAGATGCATGAACTGAAAGGGTTTCTCTCTCTCGCTCTCTCTCTCTCTCTCTCTCTCTCTCGCTCGCTCGCTCTGCCAGCCAAGAGCACCTCTCTTCCCTTCCCAGCCCCTTTAGACGTTTTCTAAGATTTCGAACCAATCTAGATTTTTTGGCCCTGTGTCAAATTTTCGCATCTGCCTTCCCGGTCCCTTTAATCTGTCAAATACCCGCCCACAATTTACTATAAAAAATCTCCACGAACTAGGAAGTACGCTACGCAACTAACGCCCCTCTTAAGCCCAAAATTTCAATGACTGTGCCTTATTAATCAAATTATCACAAGGCGGCGCGCTCACGAGGGTGGGGCCTAGCCGCTCTGGGTCCTTTGAGCCCTCTCCTTACTCCCGAGGACTACATAAGGGCCCAGGGGTCGGCCCCGAGGACTCAATGCCCCACACGGCACCCCTGGCCGCCCTCCTCGCCTCCCTCCTCATCGCCATGGTACGGTAGGAAGATGGGGGCTTTTCTAGATGGGTCGAATTTCATCAATTTGAAGCTGGCCAAAAAGCAAAAAATTATCGCCGTGCGAGGGTCGAACGCTGGCTCTACGCCTAGGAGGCGAGAGCTTTACCAATGAGCCAAAGGGGCAGCAACCGCAGCGGTGGTAAAAGCCATGTTCTCCTTTTGGGTCGACCAATCCGCGCGCAGGATCGGCTCGTCTTTGGTACAAATGTTCTATCCAGTGCGCCGGCTACCGTACCACTGCCTACCCCTAGTCTACTGTAATTCATAATTGCCATTTAGGTGAGGGGGGAGTGCTGTCCGCGGGAGGACCGCTCGAACTTCTGCACCATATTCACCATGCTGTCGCCCACCGAACAGAACGAGGTCGTCGGCTACTTGGGTCAGTTCAACATTTTTATTTGATCGTGCTCCCCTCGAATTATCGTTTTAAAAGGTCATGTCATGTCTAAAACGAAGCCTACCTTTTCCAAAGCTGAAGCCTAACCTTTATGCTGAACGCCCCCAACTTGTTGCTCATTTTTTACGCCATAACTAGCGTGTCGGTGGTCTAGAAAATTCAGGAAAACCGCCCCCATCCTTTGTCTAGAATCACCACGCAAGGGTTCATGCCCCAATTCATGGTTAAAGGGTGTGTGACAGCTCGGAAAAAACACCCCCAGTCTGTTCCAAAAGAGAAAATTTTTCGCAGAAGACTGGGCCGCTAAGCCTAAACCTAGGCCCAAGCCTAGTGGTCGAAGCTCAGACCTAAATCTAGGCACGAAGTTAAGCTTAAGCCTACGAAGCCTAAGTCTCTCCTAAGCCAAAACCCCAGCCTAAGCCTAGCTAAAGCCTCGAAAATTCCAGGTGACAACTGCCAAGGCGACGCCGAGGAGGCCATCCGCGTCATGGAGAAGCGCAAGCCAAACTTCATGCGATACGGGCGGTCACGTAAGCGGTACTCCGATTACAGTACCCCCATTTAGCCAACATCGAGATGGGCAAGAAGGGCTCCGACCCGAACTTCCTGCGATTCGGCAAACGCTCCAAGCCTAACTATTTGCGCTTTGGTAGGCCATTTGAATGGGGCAGCCTTGCAGGAATTATTGAGGAATCCGGAAGTCCGTAACAACGCCTTGATTTCCAGGCCGCAGCGACCCGAATTTCTTGCGATTCGGCAAGAAGGCCGCCGGCTCCGACCCGCACTTTTTGAGGTTTGGCCGATCGGCGGAGCCAAATTTCTTGAGGTTTGTGCGTCTTTAAAAGGGATTTCTTGGTCTAAGTCGCGCTCCAACTACCGTATCTATCGATACAGTAACAGCAAAAACTCGCTGCAGACTGCCATGCTTCTAGTCTACGCCTAAACCAAGCATAAGCATACGTCAGGCCTGAGCCAAAGGCTGAGCTTAACCCTATGCCTAACAAGGGAAGGGCACACGCACAGGTTGGAATTTCGTCAAACGCTCGCGGCTACCCCCGGGTAATCGACTATGGAGAACACGATGCCGCTGTCCGATTTTCCTGCCGAGCCCTGTGGACAGAGATACAGCACTTCCGGAAAATCATGATTTACATGCGAAAAATTAGAATCCCGGGAAGGTTTATTAGGCTCTCCCATCAGTATGGGATCACCAGTTGAATGGCCGATTGGTAAGCAACTCGCTTGAAAGGATACTGACGAGGGTACGGATCCGCTCGTGATTTTTCGTTTTGCCTTTTGACAATTTTTTTTTGCAGAAGTCCACAACTTTTTCTAAATGTGTAAAAATACTCATTTGAAGCCGTATAATACCTCTAGCATTCAAAGAAAAACTTTTTCGAAAAAGTTTGTTCAGCATTGTTCAGCATGTTCGAGCATCCATCGACCCAACGGCTTATCAAATTCACTAATTTTGGGAAAATTTTCTGCCTAACGAACTTGACCAGGGCCCTTAAACAGGATAAGGTGTTGCAAACCAAACTAGAGCGTCACGCTTGGCCTGGGCCAAAAATTTTCCCCATAATTTTTGATAGTTTGACAGCCGTTGGGTGATGGATGGGGAAGTGCGAACAAAAACAAACTTTTTCGAAAAAGTTTTTCTTTGAATGCTAGAGGTATTATACGGCTTCAAATGAGTATTTTTACACATTTAGAAAAAGTTGTGGACTTCTGACAAAAAAATTGTCAAAAGGCAAAACGAAAAATCACGAGCGGATCCGTACCCTCGTCAGTATCCTATCAAGCGAGTTGCTTACCAATCGGCCATTCAACTGGTGATCCCATACTGAGGGGAGAGCCTAATAAACCTACCGGGATTCTAATTTTCGCATGTAAATCATGATTTTCCGGAAGTGCTGTATCTCTGTCCACAGGGCTCGGCAGGAAATCGGACAGCGGCATCGTGTTCTCCATAGTCGATTACCCGGGGGTAGCCGCGAGCGTTTGACGAAATTCCAACCTGTGCGTGT